GTCCTTGTCATCAATTTCATAAATATGTCTCATCAAAGGACTGTTCGTTATACATTGATCTGTCAACAAACACTTGTTGTAGGATTCAAACTGATCATTTAAAGTCTAAAGTAAATAAAGCATTTGAATAGATTTTATTTAAATACAACTAGAAAATAAATAAAAATTAAAAAAAGCAAAGAAATAGCCTTGCTTTATAAATTAACTACATTATTCATTTTTATTACAATTATGTTTTTGAAAACATTAACGAGCTTACATTTTAATTAAGTAAAAATATCATATCAGAAATTAATATTTTAATAAATTAAAAATATCATATCATATCACATTAATAAAACCAAAGATAGTTTTCCGATCTTTAAAAATTCTGAAGTCTAACTCTCCAACTATTGCCCAATCCTCTAACTATTGTGCAATCAGTGTTCTTACTATTCTTAATAAGAGTCTGATAACTCTACGACAACCATTATGGACTTTGTTCCTTATATTCATCTGCTGACTTAAGAACTGTATTAGCATTGCATTGATGATGCATTTGATGTAAGCCATGAAACATTTTCTTAATACATCTAAGGATTGGTGTATCGAAAATAGTTATTAAAATTATTACATCATTTTTTAATCACAGTATTAAGCTTTACTTGATGGGCAATACTCTTCTTTATTTCCCTGTTACCACTGGGATGCAAAATATTATGTCCCTAATCCTATGATGTATTTCTATTTTAATTTATTAACATTAATGATCTTTCTAATAATCTCTAATAAGTTCTAATAATCTTTTTAATAGCCTAAATTTTTTGCTAATTCAGCTACTCCAGTCTTGATAAAAAATCTTTTTTTTTTGATTGCTTAGAAAATGAAGCCAATCTTTAATGTGATTGCTCTTCTGTGAAAAGCAAACAAGGTTGGTGCTTTCAGTGGAGCGAAGCAGGTTGGTGCTTTCAGCGGAGCAAAGAAGGTTGGTGCTTTCAGCGGAGCAAAGAAGGTTGGTGCTTTCAGCGGAGCAAAGAAGGTTGGTGCTTTCAGTGGAGCAAAGAAGGTTGGTGCTTTCAGCGGAGCAAAGAAGGTTGGTGCTTTCAGTGGAGCAAAGAAGGTTGGTGCTTTCAGTGGAGCGAAGCAGGTTAGTGCTTTCAGCGGAGCAAAGAAGGTTAGTGCTTTCAGTGGCTAGTAAATTTTAAGATAAACAAAAGTTCAGTTGTAAACTGATAATAATTATTGCAACATTCTTGATATTCTTAAATCAATGAATGAATGAATGACAACATTATCTTTAGTGTATAATCTGAGAAGACCTATGAAGAGAGCTACTTCAAGTCTTTTCAGATTATCTTTCACTTTTCATGGAAACCATGTTTAAAGTTGCTTCTTGTGGTTGCTTTTTTTTAAATCCTAATTTTATTTTCTACCTCTATAAAGCTCTAATCTGTCTTTGCATGTATCTATAAACCTCTAACTGTCCTTTTGATTTTATTTTTTACCTCTATAAACCTCTTAACTGTCTTTGTATGAAATATTGTTTTCTTTTTTTTCTCCATTGAAGCACATTCTCATTTAGACAAAATGCTATAACAGTTTTAAATGTAGTTGGACATGCCCTAGCGGGAAAACTGAAAAACAAAAAGTTTTATCTCAATGTTTTCTATAAAGGCATCTACATATTTCTATAATTACCTCTGCTTTTACCATAGTTGCTTTGAATTGATTTGAAAAAAAAAGAAAAATAATGAAGTAGAATAACTGCAGACAAATAAGTCACAGTTTAAAATTAAAATATCAAAAAAAAAAAAGAAAAAAAAAAAGAAAAGAAAAAAGATAACTAACGCAAAAAAATGGTTGAACAACTGCTTGATGAAAAGTGTTCTCAAACTGGTTGCGTGATGCTTTATCTCTCAATTCAAGAAGTTGATCTAAAAAATATATTCTAAAACTCAAAAACTAAGATACAAAAACTACAAAACCAAAAGTTTTTAATCAAACCTGCTAATCAGAAAACCTAAACTAATAACCTTGTAAATCACAATCTAATAAATATTTAAATAACAAGTGCAGAACAGTGTTTGTTTCATCGTCATTTTTTGCAATAATATTAGACAAAAGAACAAAATCTTTTTCTAAATGTGCCAAAAAAAAAGTTTTCAATTGAAGTGTGGAAACTCGTGGATACACTAATTCAGAAACCTCCTAAAAAGAGAGAAAAAAAAATTGAGATTTATTTCAAAAACATTTTCTAAAAACAAAAAAAAAAAAAAAAAACAAAAAAAAACAAAAACAAAAAAATATTCAAACCTTCTCATTTCCTAGTAAAGTTGAAATAAATAATGAGAGATTTATAAGTAAGGTTTGTAGAGTGGCAGAAGCAGGTGTCAAACCACGTTGAGGAATAGAAAACGTACTACGCTCAGATGATAAACCCAAACAATGACCAGGCTTTGTAGAGTCATTTCTATTATACAATAAAAAATTAAATACAAATAATTATAACAAATAAAAAAAA